TGGTGAATTTTTTTTTTTTTTAAAATAATTACAACGGTTATATTTCAAATACAAAATATAACCGTTGTAAAAAAAACAACAAAAGCAGTGGGGGCCACATGTTACTGTTCATCACCAAAAGCCCTCAACTCTTGAGGGTTTTTATTTTCACTCATCGGTGAGTGTTTTTTTCACTCACTGATGTAGTGTTCGAATTTTTTTTTACACCCTTATTTTTACTCGTGAGGGCTTTTCTCCTCACTGCTGGGAGTGCTCTAAGACAATGTTTATGACATAAAGTTTAAGAAAAAGTGTAGTGGATTGATTTTATTAAAGCGTTTATGTTAGGCTCTGTTTTTTTGAGCTTATGGATAAAGCAGAGCAGATTTCAGCAGATTGGAGCAGATTGAGTCAGCAGAGCAGAACATTTCAACAGAGCATAGAAGCAGATTTCAACAGATTGACACAAAAGGGATAATTTTACAGTAGTCTTTTGAAAAATGACTACCATAATTCCTATTATATGGCATGATTTGATGTGATGTAATTTGATATTGTAATCTTTGACTTTTTAAAACATATTTTAATTAAAAATTATTTTTGTAATTTCTGAATTTTATTTTTTTTTCGAAAATTATATTTTATAATTTCTGATTATTTTTTTTAATTTCTTAATTAATTTCAAAAAATCAAAATTAAAAATTGAGCCATTTCCCTAAATAATGTTATCTTTTTATGCAATTCCCAAAAATACAGTCAATTATTTATAATTTCCTACAATACAGTCTACGTCATCGGTTTAGTGTGGTTTATCATTTAATAAACCGCTACTTCAAATAGCGGTTTGTACTGATAAATAAATAAAAATTAAAAAAAAAAAAAGCGTTCCTCTCTTCTTTCTCTTAATCTTGATCCACATAGAACAAACTTCAAGATTTTCGAAGAGAACACCTCAACAACTGCCATTGCTAGGAGATGCGTCCGACGCCGACGAACCTCCACCGCCACAATATTATGCCTAATTACTTTATCATTTCAATTCAATTATTAAATTTGTCAAATAATAATTTTGGTGATTGTAATTTTAATGGATGAAATTGAAATTGGGAAATTTTCAATGATTACTTAGGATTCAAATGTTGGATTTCAAATTTTGATTGGATTTATTTGGAAGATTTACTTTGGATGAAGAGGATAATGGAGTTGAGAAATGCAAAAGGTGAATTTCGATATTCAAGCTTGGATGTGGTTTTTTTTTTTTTTTTTAAAAAAAAAAAAAATTAGATGAAAACCGCCTCTTCAGGTAGCGGTTTTCATTTGAACCGTAAAAAAATACCCGATTTTTATACGTTTTCTTACGTGGACAGTATTGTGGGAGTGTTTAAAAGAGTGACTGTATTTTGGGAAATAGATAAAAAGACAACATTATTTAGAGAAAGAGCTCTTACAAATTCAAAGTAGAAAAATTAAAATTTAAAAAACTGTTCTTCATTGTTCTGAATTTCAATTGATGATTTGAACACAGCGGCTTTGCGGCGTTGATGTTGTCCACCACCAATAAGATGGTTGTTACGGTAAAGCCGATCGCGGCGAGCACGCTCCTTCTCAGCCTCACGTTTACAAGCTTCGATTTCTTCGTCGCGGCGTTATGGGAGATGGCGAGATGGGTTGTTATGGTGGTGGCGGGTATCATCCAAATTTTTCTGGGTATCATCCCAAATTCTCATGGAATTATCCCAATTTTTCTCTGGGTATCAACCAAATCATTGCTAGGTTGGAGCCTCTCAATCTTGTAAACAATTTTCTTAGCCACCTTCTTACCTTTCCTTCCACTAATTTTCTCAGTAAGTGACCTATCAGCTTTCTGGGTTTCATCCATGGAGGTATTTTTCTTCTGCTTGGGTCTTGAGAGGTCAAAAACTTCATCAGATAGAAGAACTTTATAAATTTTTTTTACGATCATTTCACCAAATGCCACTCAATACTTAAAAAATTCACTAAATGTCATCGCGTTTTTCAAAATTCACCAAATGCCATTAAGATTTAGTACAATATCAACAAATGTCATTTCTGTTAGTTGACCGTCAGTGCCCATTAGTTGACCCTACCACTTGTCACGTGTCACCTTCTGATTGGTTCGTTTTTTTAAAAAAAAAAAAATTTAAAAAAATATATAAAAAAAAATAAAAAAACAGAAAACCCTTCCACCACCCCTTCCACCACCCGCTCCCTACTACCGGTGACCTGGACCCTCACCGGCAGGCCAATCCACGCATCTTCTCTCTCCTCTCATCCAACACCACCATTCCACTTCTTTGTACCACCACCACCACCCCATTCCTCTCATGCCCTCAACGACCATACCCCGACCACAGTAGTCGTGATTCCTTCCCTTCCCGCCACAGTTGCCAACCCTTAGTCCCCCAACGAAACCGTCCTTTTCTTCTCTCATACAACGACCATCCCCTGTCTTTCAATCAGTTATTTTCGAGGGAGGTGGTGAGGTTTTTTCTGGGTTTCGACGGAATCACGATAGGAAAGAGGAGGGGAGGGATTTCGCATGGTGGTCGTGGTTTCGCGACGGGAAAGAGGAGGGGAGGGGGAGGGGTTGCTTCGGCGGCCGCTGGCGTGCCTGCCGGTGAGGGTCCAGGTCGTCGGCGGCAGGGTTTCAGGGTTCAGCGACAGGGAGCAGGTGGTGGAAGGGGTGGTGGCTGGGGTGGTTTCAAGGGTTTTCTTTTTTTTCTTTTTTTATTTTTTTTTGGTTTTTTTATTTTTTTTAAAAATATTTTTTTTTTTTAAAACGGACAAATCAGAAGGTGACATGTGGCAAGTGGTGGGGTCAACTAACGGTTAACTAATGGAAATGACATTTGGTGATGTTGTACTAAACCTCAGTGGCATTTGGTGAATTTTTTAAGTACGGTACTCAGTAGCATTTGGTGAAATGACCGTTTTTTTTATTTTGATTTTTAATTTAATTTTGATTTTATGATATTAATTAAGAAATTAAAAAACGAATTTCAGAAACTATAAAATATAATTTTCAAAAAAAAAAAAAATCAGAAATTACAAAAATGAATTTTAATTAAAATATACTTTGAAAAGTCAAACATTACACGGCAAAGTACATCCAATTAAATTATGCCACATAATAAGGCTTATAGTAGTCACTTTTCAAAGGACTACTGTAAAATTTTCATAAAGAACAGGGCCTACTTGGTATAATATTACATATATAATACAATATAAATTAAACAAATGGGATATAGTGAGATTGGGGTTGAGGATGAGTTTTTTTCAAATAAAAAAAGGTAAATCAGTGAGTTATAGTGAGTCATTCAACTAAAGTACATGTACAGAGTATTATTTTACTTGTTCAATTTTTTTTTTACACATATTTTTCTTACTTTCTCTATTTTTTTTAAAAAAAAAATTTAGTTCATATTCAATTTAATAAATAATTACAATATATTAAGGATCAAAATATAGTCGACTCCACTTATGAGATTAAAATTTTGATTGATTTATGTTAAGGATCAAAATATTGCAATTAAAAAGGCGCACGTTATTGCATTATCGGTTGGTTAGTTGAATCAAACATAATTAAGTGTCACAAAGATTATGAATATGATTTCACATCACATCAATAATAAGACTAAGCAAATAGCATAGGGGGGTGCATTGTGCATAAATGCCAAACGCTAAAGGCGATTGGGTATGGTGTTCACGTCTGAGTCGCACCCAACAAAAACGAGACTCACTTAGCCCCAATCTATCAGTCTTTGTCGGCTCCTTTCATCATCAATATATAATCCCATTGCCTCCCCTTATTTCACGCCCTCTTCCTTTTCTTTCCCACACTTGTCCTTTTTCTGCGTTTCTTCTATTCCCCTTCCTTTCTTTTCCCACCTCCCCCAAGGCCCCCACCACTTTTTTTTTTTTTTTACATGAAATATTCATTAACTACACTAATTATATAGATTGGAGTGTTTGTTTAGAGAGATGTAGATTATAAGTACTCTGTATTGTTGTCAAGTGCAATATACGGGTAGTCGGGTATATATGAATTGAAAAATGGATACAAAGCATACATTGTATTTATTTTTTGCTGGTATGCATTGAGAATATGAGATTTGTTTAGTTAGGACGTGCATATTTATATATGGTCCAATGGAAGAGAGTGACATAAGTCGCGAGTCCTAGCGACACAAAAAAAAAAAAAAAAAAAAAAAAGGAAGTAGCATAATTTCAAAAACGAATATCAACTTCATAAAACATATACTTCGTACCTCGCTAGCAAGATTGCATGAATTATAAGGAGACGAATCTAAAAAAAGGGTCCACATTCATATGTTTTACCTATGGAGAAACATGTGAATTGTAGAAAAATGAATTGTTTAACCAAAAATTAAACTGAGATACAGTAGCTTTAATATAATATGGTAATACAAGTTGAAAGAATCACACATCAATTCAAGGAATAGTAATAAAACCTAGACAAAAAATAAAAAATGCCGTGAGGACATTGAGATCAACCGCATGTCAAGCACAAGGGTAACATTCTTCTTGTGATTACCGTTAATTTATCTTTACTGGGGTCAGTGATTACCACCATTCCTGTCCCTAGCAAAGTTTTCATACATAAACAGTACTATTCACCCTATTTTTTTTTGGTTTTGCAACATTATTCTAAAACGAAAATTGGGTCATTTCTATTACGGAGTACAGATATAAGTGTGAGGAATCACCAAATCCGTTGCATTAACATCCCTAGCTTGCGCTAATCTTTGACCAAGCATGGATGGATCTCTATTTATGTGCTTAATGGTTTGGGGTTAAAACCTTGTAAAACTAAAGAAATCATAATACTATTGGGACAAATAAAGAAAAATTAATCTCATTGAGACAATCAGACAAATATGAACAAAGGGAGTATGAAACGACATCAATGGATGATGTTATGACGTAGCTAGAATAGCCTTCAACACGATATGATACTATAATTGAAGTTGATAGTACAGTAAACGAAGCGCTCGGAACAGAATAATTCTTGCATTCAAAACTGTTTACAAATTACAACAATCTTATACTCCATCTTATACCCCCTTAAACCCAAATAACAAGAAAACCACATAAAATGGATACAAATTTAACACTTACATTAGCACTACAAATCCAAATAACCCAAACTCCCACACAAGTTAAGAAAATACATGCACATATACACCCCACACATACTACTATAGCCAACCAACCAAGCATATCATAAAAAAAACATATCCTTGCAGTTAGCATTCAGCAGCCGTATCAAACACCCTACGCCTCCGCTTCAACCGTTCATCAGACCCCGATCGTTGAACAACTCCCTTCAACGCATCCCTCAGAAACACAGCACATTCATCGCTTTGCACACTACTATCCGCGCTAACAATGAACACACTTTGAATCCTACCACCAAGGGACGAAACCTCGGCCCGAAGAGTCTTTAAATTTAAAGAGCTCAACACCCCATTAAGATCAGCAAATAGATCAGGCCTATCTTCACAACACAATGAGGCTTTCAAAATAAGCTTATTACTATTACTATTATTATTATTATTACTGTCACCATCTTCAGTATCGCATTGATTATCATCGTCATTGTTGTTATTGTTATTGTTATTATTATGAATATAAACGGCAAACTCGTCGTTTTCAGACGGTATCATTAAGTTGTCTAGCTCATTAAGCTCCGAGGTTTGCCGTTTTAGCTCCAACACTCGCTGAACCACCTTGGAAAGGAGCGTTGCTTTGTCTGTCTGTTTTCCAAAAACAAAAAAAAACACATAAAAATTCAATAAATATGAAATGAATGTATAAATTAGTTAAATAAAAAAGAGAATCGTTAATGAATAATGAAGCATATTCAAGAAAAGGGTACTAAAAAAGGTGAACAACTTTGTTCAAAGTCTGAACCCTAAGGTAAGATGAGCATGGTTGAAATTTTAGAAAAAGCAAAAAAATAAATAAAAATAAAGTGTGCATGTTTTTTTTGACTGACTCACTAAAATACTCAAAACCCAATAATATTAATAATAATAATAGTAATAAATAATAATATGTTCTCATTTCTTTTTCTTCACGCCGTGATGATGATGTTGGTACTTTAATTTTATTTTTTTCAAAAAGGGTAGTAGAAAATATTTATATTTTTGTAAATAAAAAGTGGGACAATTGTTTTAATTTTTTGAATGGGAATGCAATACTGAGATGATCAGAAACAGAAGAATCTCTGCAAATTATAGAAGCTTATAATGGTAAAAAGATTTTCCATTAACTGAACCTTTAATGTAAGCACAAAAGGAGAAAAGGGAAAAATCATACAACAATTTTCAAAGTTATCATAAACTTAGGACCTGTATTAAGGATTACTCCATATAAAGTTTTGTTTAAAGCTTTTCAAGAGGAATGAGGTTAGAGGTCTCTTCTACAACTCTACTCGAGGTAATTTCACCGATATCAAGTTATGGTTTACTTAAGTTCAATCCACAACTAAAATAAGGATGATTCCGTATTGTAATAAGCTCATACTCAAACTAAATAAGAGTCGCTAAGTTCAAATAATTTAGGTTATGGGCCTATAAATCGAATTCAGATTAAGTAAGATATAACTAAATAGAACATAATTAACATATTGTAAATCTAAGATTAGAATGTCCAAACTATTATAATTACATTTAAACTTCATCATATATGATGGCATAATGCTTTGATAAGATTCTGTGATTTTTTTTTTACTCAATCAAAAATATACATTAATTGATTAAAAACATACTTAATCTCATTTACTCGAACTGCTGTTCTAATTCATGTGTAATAAAATTAATGAAAACAATTACTACTCCATTCTTGAAAAAGTTCATGATTTTAAAGCATTATTTACATGCTTTTATTATATACTCCTTAATATTAATATTCGTTCTAAGATAATTAAAAATGTTGGATTTTTATGGTTATAATCACCAAATCTAACTTTCTAGTAGCAAATAATGATTTAACCAATAACTTGATAAGTATTCTATATTTTTAAAACTATAAATATGTTAAAACAAAAAATAAATAACGTTTTACAATGTAAAAAGTTTCAAACTTATAATCTCTTATGCTAAGCCTTTTCATCTAAAATCTATATTTTCTTTGTCACTCAACTTATAATACAATATACGATCAATATCAATGTAATACTAATTGTTATAGCCAATTTTCACTATTATTAGTTACCATATCACAATTTATTATATCAATGCAATACAATTATACAAAATATTGATTAAAACCAGTATCTTACATTATTACAAATGCAATTGAAATAGATTTGGTTTAAAATAACAATCATTTTTAATTAGTTGATGTAGAAACTAGAATGTAATAACATTGACCGGTTATTATAGCTTGTCACTTGTTCACCGTGATTTATAAAGAAATATATAATCCTCATTCCACTCCATAACTCCCTATTGTATATTCACTTGGCTATCTTTAATTTTCTTATTTGATGTTTTAGCCAAACTCTTATTACTAATCACATAAAATATCAAATTATTTATTTTATTTTACCAATTTTGCAAAATTTATTAGTTACACAAATTAATCAAACATACATGACATACACCAACCCAATCACACACTCTTTAAATTCAAATGACCACATCATATAAGGTCGGTGATAGAATAATCGAGTGACTTTTCAAACAATGAATTAATTTTACTTCCCCAAAAAAAAAAGATATATTTTCCCCCAAAATTCATACAATACTCATAAAACCCTAACCTATTTTTTATTTTATGAACCGGTAAATAAACAAGATGCTCTCTATCATACCAGAACCTCGCACAGGTCAACCCAGGTCGGTTAACCGATAATTACCGTAAATAAAGATTATTAAGATGAATAAAGTAAGATTAAAAGGAGAGAAAATATACTTTAGAAGTGCAGGGAAGAATAGAACGAAGACGATCAAGGTGAGAATTAATTCTCTCTCTCCTCCTTTTCTCAGCTTCTTTATGATGAATCCTTGAAGCAGCTAACGCTTTTGCTTCCGTCGTTTCATTCAGTAACCCTGTATAAAACGACGCGCTGCAGCTTCCACTACTGCTGTAATTATTATTATTAGTATTATTATTATTATTATTATACTTCGCCGGCCAATTAACGACGTCGTTTACTCCGGCGCCGGTTAAATACCGGTAAATCTCCATTTCCGATGAAGTTGTATTATTTGGAAATTCATCTGAAAATTGCTGCATATTTTAATTTGTGGTAGAATGAATTGAAGAAGAAGTAGATTTTGAAATTGGTAAGTTTGGGTTATTTATATAATGAGGTAGGAAAATGGCTTTTTTATTTTTTAAAATTTAAATTTTCTAGGGTTTGTCTGTTTGTTTGTTAATTTTTGGGGCTTTTTAGGAGTGAAGGAATTTTGGGGTTGGAAGATGACTGTCTTTTTGGTTGTCTTGATGATGAGGATTTTTGATCAATTTGTTCTCTTCAGTATGTTCTCTTTAAATTATTTTTAATTGTATATTACTCTCTCCGTTCTTTTAGGTACTGTTGTTAAAAAATTTACTCCGTACTTTATAAGAGTTAAAATTGATTTTTAGTAAAATACTTGTATTATACAAGTGGATTTTGTTGGAAAATTAGAAATTTCTTCATACATATTTTTTTTGTTTGTCTCATTCCAATTTACGGAGTACGTACATATTTGAAGAAATACATTTTCAACCACGAATTATAAGTTGAATAAGACAAAATCTAATAAGATTCCACATGAAGAAATATCGAGTATACTTTGTAATATATTAAATTTTCTACCTTCAAATTGAAGATTCCAAATGGGATAAACAAAAATAATGGAAAGATAAATGAAATGTAGACTATTTAATTTATAGATTATAGATATTGAAGGTTTGTTCTGTTCACCTTATATTCACTTACTTTAATTCAAATAAGTTCAGTTAAGTTAGTTTTACAAAAATAAATTTTAATAAGAGTTATCCAAGATCTAATTATTATTTCTTTTTTAAAAAAGGTTCAAATTACAACTAAAATAAGTAATAAATGAAAATCAAGTTAGTAGAATAGGTAAATAAAGAAGTTATGAAGGTTAAATATATATAGGAAGCGATCGATGTAATTAAAAAACTCAATATATTAAACATTAGTTATTAATTTATTATTTTTTGTTTACTTAGTATATTTCTCACATACTACTTCTTTTTTATTTGACTTGTCTCATTTACGACATTTGTCATTGTAAATCTTTAACTATAAATAACTCTAATTTTTCATAAGTAAAAATTATTAAAGTTATAATAATAATTATACTTTTTGAGACATTTCTAACAAGAACCCATATGAATATGTATTTTCTTATGTATAATTCAAAAAAGAAAAATAAAAAAAATGGTCAAAGAAAATTTGGTGAATAGTGTAAAAGTCAAAGCGGGTTAAATAAAAAAGAACGGAGGAAATAAGTTATTGTAATTTAAGTCCTTTTTATTCCCCAATTATTGTAGATTTGTAGGTTGTCTAGCCTACTGAACTAATCGATTTGACTTGTATAAGGTTTCGTAATACAGTAAGACACTTCTCCTTAACGTTATATGAGTAGAAAAATAATTAAATATAGATCTATAAAAATCTTTTACTACGTATTAATTATTACTAAAACAAAACGTTGCTGACGTCATCACTGTCCACATGTTACTCATATAATAAATTTTTTCCCTCCCAAATGCAAAGATGATGTCATTTTTTTTTTTTGGAGCTATTATATGTAACAATTTTGAAATTTGAATATTAGAAACTTCTACATTACAACTAAAACCTATCAACTTATCTTTAAAAAATGAAACAATTGTAAATAGCACACTAATTAATAAATGGACTACTATATTGAAATATGTATTAGACGACGTTAAATAGGTATTATATCATAATTTTGATGAAAATCTAAAACAATAAAATTACAAATATTTTTGTATGAGGTGCATAATTCTTATTTATATTTATCAATTTTCTTAAAAAAAAAGTACAAATTATAAAAATAGATTTTATATAAACCTTGCATCGCACGGGTTCCAACCTAGTTATTAATAAAATCAGTAACACTACTAATTTATTTTTGTATTTAGGGTGGGGTCTACCACATTCCCACTATAGTGTTTTTCCCTTTTGGTGGTGTAGTGCCCTATAGAAGAAGTTGCTAGCTTTATATACGTGAGCTTGGCGTAGTGGCCACGTCATTATGCGGTGAAATTAAAATGGGTTTTTGAATATGATGATGTTTTTATTTTTACATGGAGGTGATCATGGGATCATGCGGCTCAGACGGTCACACCACTACTCTCATAGAAATGATGATCATTTTAGTCTACTCCCTATACCTTTATCACCTTCGCAATTTTACCTAAGGTAAGAGTAATACTTCGTAATTATAATACGAAGTAATATTCTTCAAAACTTTTGCACTTAAAAATGACGGATGAATAACGCTAAAGCAATCGATAGTCACAGTGATTAATGTGTAATTTTGTCATATATTTCAAATTTAATACCAAATTCATCAAAAACGTTTAAAATAATTATATTATATGCAATCCTTACAAATTACATATATCATTCCATTGTCACACACACAAAAAAAGATTTATATCATTATTAAATACCCCGATTAGGATTTTATATTGTGAAAAGACAATCTTAGTTTTTGTAGTATTGTTGTTATCATAAAATGATATATTGCTTTCCATCATGCAACTTTTAATTTGATAGTTAAATAAAATTTCAAGGGTCAATTTATTCCATTCACACCAAATTATTGGCCAATACAATTAGCAAGTGCCGATTGAGCTTTTACTCTTTTAGGCCGGAGATAGTTTAGTATTGAGAATCATGAGATCGAATTTCTTCAAAAAAAAATCCACTTCCAAAGTTCCATGCATTGCCCCTTGTTAGTTGTTACTCCTACATTCTATGAATGATTTATTATATGTTTTTATGATTCCTTGATAGGATTCTTTAATTTCCTAGCTCCCTAACCACACAAAATTCTGAAACACATGACAATAGTGTTAGTTAATACAACAATGTCCAACCAAGTCTCCCTTGCAACTTCGCAAGTTATGAGTACAGATTACAAATTAGCTAGATCTCCTTAAGGGAAAGTGTTCGACTTTAATGATCAAAACATATTAACTTTAATTTGATTGTAAATTCATTAATTTTATTATATTTGACAAGTCTCATAACATATACAAGTACTTCATAAATCTTTGTACGATGTATATAATGTTGATAAAGTTTTACCCAGATAATAATCATCAATTTTTTTTTCCCAAAAAATATAAGTGTGGTAACTTATGAAAATCAATGTTATTAATGTGTATTATAGTATGTACTCGTAGCATATGTCTAGAATTATAGATGTATCTACTTTTGTCGGTCTACCTATTTCATCCTGTTATAGTGCTCTACTGCTCTAGAGTACCCTGTCTAGGCTAAGTCTTTCGTTCACTTAATTAATTAATTTATCTTAACTAAAATGATTTTCGGTTTTATTGTAAATTGAATGCGTTTATTTATCCTCAATTCCTCATTAGGAAATGATGTCAAAATAAATAAATAAATAAATAAATCCTCATTAGGAAATCAGGTAAACATGATAAGGTAAGCATAACATATTAAGACAACATGAAGAAATGATGCCTTCATCACGAGAAACGTATATATAGAGATGTATAGGCCTTGGAATGTGGGCTGGGCTATATTGTTTATCAAAACAAATAGAACAGGTACGTAAAAGCCCATAATGTGGTGGGCTTGTGGACCATTGAAATAGTGGACTACTTGTTATTGAAAATTAAATGTGAGTGTCAAAGAAAAACCTCAACATTAGTTTTGCAGATAAATGAAACAATAATACTTCGTATGTTAATTGCGCTAAGTTTATAACATAACTAGTTTTGTGTCCGGGCGATGCCCAGATGGTTGATAAAAGTTTGGGATAAACTTGTTTGGATTGAATGTTCAATACGATAATATAATCCCTTTTGATAATGCAGGATATTTAGACATACTGAACTGAAATATATTTTTATTGAACCAAAAGTATTTTTGCCAAAACAAAAATTATATTTCATGATTAAAACTTATATTCACTGATTCTCTATTATTTTTGTAAATAAATTAAATATATTATAAATGAATCTTATTTTTTAGAACTTTTTAAAATGAATTTTATGATGAAAATAGTTCCGAATTATAAGATATTTATTAAAAGTTATGATTAATTTGTATATATGAAATATTAGAAGTATATCGATAATAAAACTTTATACAACATTTTTATCTTTAAAAATTTATCCCTTACTTAGCATCATATGTCTCGTGACCCGGCTGCGAGACCAGTTTTATTTATTAGTGACTAGTTATGTGCCCGGGCGATGCCCAGATGGTTGATAAAATTTTAAGATAACATTTTTACTTCAATGTTAAATACGGTCAAATAATTCATTCTGATAATGTAGGATATTTAGACATATGATATCATATGGAGTGTATTTTGTGTAGTTTGTTTGTAAATAGATGTATATGTTATCATTGAATTGAAATTATTTTTATTGAACTTAAATTATTTTCACTGAACTGAAATTATTTTTACCAAACTAAAATTATTTTTACGGATTAAAACTTATTTTTATTGATTAAACTAAAATTATTATTAACAATGCATTTTGTATGCGGCTAGCCACACCATCTGGCCGGACAAAGTAACCCCTATTAAATTGATCGGGTAACCCCTGTAATACTAATTGATAACCTCTAACCCTGACTAAGTAACCCCTGTCTATAACACTAATTGAGTAACCACTATAACACTAATCAAGTAACCCCTATAGCACTAACGAAGTAACTCTTGTATTAATTGGTGATACGGTTTGGCTAACTACGTACAAAAGTTTGTGATTAAATACATTATAAATGGATTCGGTTTTAAAGAACTTTTTAAAATAAATTTGATAATGGAAATAGAATTGAGTTATAGGATATTTATTAAAAGTTATGATTAATTTTGTTTATATGAAATATTAGAATTTTATCGATAACAAAACTCTATACAACAATTTTATCTTATAATCTATCAAAAAATAGCTTGTTTATCATCATATGTGTCACAATAATACCTATTTATCTCCTACGTGGCGTGACACTTGGCGAAAAACTGAAATGCCAAGTGACGTTGTCTATACTTTTTGTAGTTTTGTTTATAAATAGATATTTATGTTATTATTAACTTATTGAAATTATATTTATTGAACTTAAATTATTTTCACCAAACTAAAATTCTTAAATAAATTAAATAACAATGCATTTTGTATGCGACTAGCCACACCATTTAGCCGGACAAAGTAATACCTATAGAACTGACCGAGTAACCCCTGTAATACTAATTAAGTAACCTCTAACACTGACTAAGTAACCCCTATCTAAAACACTGATTGAGTAATCGCTATAACACTGACCAAGTAACCCTTATAGCACTAACGAAGTAACTCTTAATAGTTGGTGACACGGTTTGGCTAGCAAAGTATAAAAGTTTGTGATTAAATATATTGTAAATGGATCTTATTTTAAAGAACT